GCTGCTGCTGCTGCTGCTGCTGCTGCAGTCCAGCAGCTCTGTCACGCGATGTCGCTGCTGAGACGCAGCAACTGCGTCGTGCTGCTGCTGCTGCTGCTGCTGCTGCTGAGTGGCTATCAAATCAAGAGGCCAACTCCCTGTCTCCCGCAGCAGACATTCGCCGGAATCCATTGCATCTCCTCCGTCTCTGTCTGCGGCAGCAGCAGCAGCAGCAGCAACTCCTGCTGCTGCTGCCGCTGCTGCTGATGTCGGTACGCACACGCTGCCGGGGTCACGTATCCCGCCGTCGCCAAGCAAGGCGGTTGCTGCTAGCAACATTGGGTCTACTGCTGCACCTGCTGCTGTTGCTGCTGCTGCTGCTGCTGTGGTCCACTGGTCCCGTCTGTCTAAACCCTGCAGCAGCAAATTGCTGCTCATGTGCTGAAGCAAAAGAGTCTGCGCATTTGACTTCTGCGCGTCTTTGGGCTGCGGCGCCTGCAGCAGCTTGCTTCCGTCTGCTGCTGCTGCTGCTGCTGCTGCTGTTGCTGCAGCAGCTGCCGGAGATAAGCTCTTCAGCGAACGCCGCACTTCTGCTAGCAGCAAACCGGCCCCTGCATGCGCCTCGGGGTCCCACTGCCGCCCCGCATTATCTGGCACGAGTTTGCTGCTGTCACTGCTGTTGCTGCTGCTGTTGCTGCTGCTGTTGCTGCTGCTGCTGCCGCTGTTGCTGCTGTTGCTGCTGATGCTGCTGCTGCCGTTCGCCTGCATGTCTGGGGTATTGTTTGTAGCACCTAAGCAGCTGCCATTCCATGTCCATGGGCTGATGTCTGTGCCCAGCAGCTGCTGCGGCTGTTGCTGCAGCAGCAGCTGCTGCTGCTGCTTTGGCTGCTGCTGCTGCTGCTGCTGCTGCTGCTTCGACTGCTGCTGCTGCTGCTGCTTTGAGACGCAGCGTGTCCAGCTCTGCTTCCACGCATATGCTACAGTTGAGTCTGTTGCTGCTGCTGCTGCCTGCTGCAAACCGGCTGCAGCAGCTGTGGCTGAAATAAGCTGTTTCTGAGAGGGTGCCAGCAGCCCTGCTGCACCTGCTGCTGCTGCATCTTCTGCAGCAGCAGCAGCAGCAAAAGGCGCACTCACCGGGCCGCTGCTGTTGCGGGGGTCTGTTTCCACCCCGTCATCTTCTGGCAGCAAAAAGGCTTCTTCACTGGAGTCCCAGTCCGTCAGCAGCAGCTGCTGCTCTTCGCAGGCAGTGTCTTCCGCTGCTGCTGCCGCTGCTGCTGCTGCAGTGGTTGCTGCCGCACCTCCTGCCGCCGCTGCTGCTGCTGGCGGCAGCAGCGCCATATCCACCTGTTGCGAGGCGGCGCCGAGGGGCTGTTCGTCCTGCAGCTGCAGTATCTGAAGCTGCTGGAGCTGCTGCAGCTGCTGCTGCTGCTGCTGCTGCTGCTGCTGCTGCTGCCAGGGCCAGAGAGAGCCCTGGGCGTCCCTGGGGTCCACGAGGCCCCCGAAGCTGTCGTCGAGCTCCTGCGCCCCCTCACCCTCAGCAGCAGCAGCAGCAAGAAAGGATCTGCTGTGGCTGGCAGAAGAGATTGTGGAAACACTAATTAGGGAATCCTTGTTAACAGGAGAGTCTATGCAGCAGCAAATGGTTTCTTCCTGCTGCTGCTCCTCTTGGCCCTCCGCGGCGCCGCGGGCGGGAGCCGCGTCCTCGGCCTGCAGCTGGAGCTGCTGCTGCAGCTGCTGCTGCAGCTGCTGCTGCTGCTGCTGCAGCTGCAGCAGCTGCTGCTGCTGCTGCTGCTCGTGCCGCACCTCCCCGTACAGGCCGTGCCGAGCGCCTCCCAGCGAAGCGCAGCAGCTGCCAGCGAAGGGCACCATCTGCAGCTGGGGGGCGACTGACGGGGCAGCAGCAGCAACTGCGGACGCAGCAGCAGCAGCAGCAGCAGCAGCGGCAGCAGCAGCAGCAGCGACGGGGGGCTTCTGCGGGCTCTCCTGAAACGCCGGCGCTTCCAAAAGGCTCACCCGGGACATTATAAAGGAAGCAGCTGCTGCAGTCTGGGGGAGGAGAAGACCCGCAGAGACGGAGCAGCAAAGAGACGCACTTCGAGTCGAGGGTTTAGGGTTTAGGGTTTGCAGTGTGCGAGGGCCGAGGGTTTCCAAGGCCCCTTCTGGAATTAAAGGAACAAATATAATTCAAAAGACACAATTCTACAGTTCAAGAAGAACGCTACAGCGCCAGGAACTGCAGCAGCAGCAGCAACCGCAGCGGCAGCAGCAGCAGTTGCAGCAGCAGCAACAGCGGCAGCAGGTAGGTCTACTTCCCGGGGCCTCAGCAGCTGCCGGCCTCTTCTCCGCCGCTTCGGAGGCTTAAAAGGATTACTTTCATCTGATGAAATGCATTTAAATCGGTAAAGACTTATCCTCGGGAACAACAAAGAAAAACAAGGAGGAGGATCGAGACCTGCACGTACACCCCAGGTGACCTGCGGTGTACAGACAGCGCCGTATTGTGCAAAAGAAATCCAGAAAG